CTGGATTGGGGAGGGAGCTAAGTCCCTAATTCTGGGTGACCAATAACAACAAAAGGCATTAATAGCCCGGTGGAAAGAATGGCTAATTGTTGAGCATAATGAACAGATGATGAGCACTGGTTTCTAGCACTGGGTCCATGTAACAGGGAAGGGGAAAAATATTATTGTTACCCTGAGGGCTAATCACAGCCTCTCTATTCATCTCATCACAGGACAAGAGGGCCGGTGGTCACATCAGATGTGACTTAAACAGGGCAATGAGGTCTTGGGCTCAAGGAGCATGATGATCACTCAGCTGATTCCCTGTTGCCTGCAGAAAGAGCCGGGGTGGGAAGGCAATGGGAAGCAGATGGCCTGGTGGGCAGAGCCCTCATCTCACCTCTCCAATTCTTCCTCTTCAGGATTCATTGCCTGAAGATGCCACCAGCTCTGCCCCAGTCCTCTGACCCCAGTGCTCATTCCCATGTCCCAGCTGCAGTGCCCCGGGTCCCTTGGAGGGTGCCAGTGGGGATGTAAGAGGGTTAGGGCAGGGCACAGGAAGAGTGACGATGGAGGCCGAGCAGGCCAAGTTCCAGAAGGCCAGTCCTAGCAGAGAGACTGAGGGACTGGGTGCAGAGTAGAGGAGGAAGAGAGGAGAGCTGAGTAGAGACCACACCAGAGCAGTGGTTCCCAGCTAGGGCAACACATTATGCTGTGTGGGATTCCCTAACAACACCACCCAGGACCCTGGAAGTACATGGCATTGTCCTCTCTTCCCCCAGCACCAAGGGCAATTTAGGACTTCATCTTGGCTACGTGAACTCTGCTACTTGTTAATGGACATGTGTTCATCTCAGAGATAAGAGCATCCTGTGGGGAGAAAAGTGGCTCAGGGTATGTCATCCATAAGCAATGAGGGTCTATGTGAGAGCATGAGTGAGTGGCTCTATGTCAGAGCCAAGTTCATGTGTCTGCTGCCCCACCCGCCTGCCGGGATGAGTGCCCCTGGAGACATTGGCCATGATGTATCCCACCCCACACCTGCAGTGGGCTTTTTATGATGAGCTGGAGGGACTAAGGTAAGGAAACAGGAAGATGTGTTCCAGAATAAGATGGAAAGGGGAAGGATGGCCTAGACCTGTCTCTTCATTCTTTTGTTTTAGAAAAATCACCAAGTGCCTCCTGTGGCTAAGTGCTTGGAGTTCAGTGAACAGCCACGTGCTTCGCCCACTGTCAGGGAACCCGCAGTCCATGGCCAGTGATTTCTGTCACATTTTGAGGCTGTGTGGGGGCTGCACAGATAATGTGGTAGGGAGTCTGTTTGAGAAGAAAGGGCAAAGGAGTCAAGCCAGATGGGATATGAATTCTGTCCTTGGTTGCCTACACAGGGAAGAACCACAGGGCAGGCAGAGAGGGAGAGGCTAAAGCAGGTGAGTTTAGCCAGTCACATGGGCATGCCTAGGCTAAAGAGGATCCACCTAGCACAGGCCTGGTTGGAAATCCTGCATAGAAAGCGTCCCTCTCCTTTGCTCTTGGTCACAACAGGGACCAGGTAGAGAGTGTGGATGACTCAGGCCATCCCTCCACATTACAGCTAGGAGTGGACCAGGAGTGTCAGCTTCCCTGTGATGGAGGAAACAGTGATTGTAGGAAAGCTGAGTCCCCCCAGCTAGCAGGACTGTCATGAGAAGCAGAGGTGGGAAGTTTCCTTTGCTGGTATGGAGCAGAGAGGAGGGGAGAGAGGTGGGGATGGAGCCACATGTGCTGGGGCCCAGAGTGGCTCCAGTGGCCTCTCCATTTCTCCCCACCACAAAATAAGCTCCTCTTTTAGCCTTATTCTCTTCTTATTTTTGTTACTCTCTTTTCCTCTGTCTTAGGCCTAAGCCTTAGGTCTGCTAAGGACTGCCGTATGAAACATTTATTCTAGAACTTATGTCCAGGCTTTTAGCCCCTGGACGAAATGCAGAGGAAAGCTTGAGTGGTGACAGCATGTGATGTTGACTTTTTCACTTCTTAACCTTTGAGACTTTGATGACATACAAGGGATTTCACACACATTCTCACAGGGTTTGAGGAATCTCAAATCTATCTGTAGACCACTGCCATTAATGTACGGCATAATGTCAGCATGTAGGGGGATGGGTCCTATGTGAGCTTTGGAGCTTGGTTTTGAGTCCTTTCTTTTACTTGTTACCAGATGGTTTGGGCAAATAATTTAAACTCAGTTTCCTCATCTATGAACAGGGGGAGAAAAACACTTACCCTGTAGGGCAGTTGTGAGGGTCAAACCCCAGGGCACCCGTGCAGTACCTGGGACGACATCTGGCCCCCAGTCGAAATCAGGACATGGTGGTTTTCTCCTTCCTCCTCTCCCTGACCATGCCTTCCCTGCTCAGAGCCCCCAGTCTCCCTCCAGCCTGGTGTCAAAGGCCACCTAAAGTGCTGGGCACAGCCTTTCCACCCCTCCACCCACTGTTCTGCTGCACGTGCTTCCCATGCCAACCCAAACCTGCGCTTCTCCTAGATATGCCTTTAGCACCATCAGGCCAAGTCTCAGCTGCCTGCTCCCTGCCCTTCTCTTCACTCCTCAATGCTCCAGGAAAGTCCTGCCACCTCCAAAGCCAGATATCTGTCCCATCTCTCCATGGTGAGTTGAGAGGGGCTAATGGTGAGCGCCAGGGACACAGCTGAGTATAGCGCCCAAGGCAGGTGGCTGATGGGGTAGAAAGGGGTGGGCACATACACTGGAGGACAGCGTGGGAGGAGGAATGTGGCTGCACCCCAGGTTGTGTGGGTGGCTGGAGATCTGGCAAGAGGCCCACAGAGACTGCTTCCTCCAGTGCTGGCTGTCCTGGCCAAGGTTTGACCATGCTGGGAGGAATGGGAGGAAGAAAACAAGGCAAATGCTGACACCTGTTTGCCCTAGAAAGGAATACCCTGCAGGCACCATTGTTCCTCCCCATCTCCCCGTCCATAAGGCTCCTTGCCTGTCTCTTCTCTTGGACACTCCCCTCCCTACTCCCATACCCACCCTTCTCTTTCTGGAGACATCCAGTGGGGTCTGACACCCCGATGCGGCCAGGAGGGGCACAGTGCAGATGTCATTTTCAACAGCATCCCCATGTGCAGTGTAGGGGGCAGAGGAGACTGGGCTGACTCAGCCGGGCTGGAGACTGTGGACAGAGCCTAGGGCTGTGGGGTGAGCTTCCCCCCAGTGAAGAATGCAGACAGGACTCTGAGGCTCCATTGCTGAATGCCTGCACCATGTGTTCCATTTAATCTTTCTGATAATTTTCCATTTGATATACAGAAAAATCTGAAAGGCAGGCATGATCTGAAATATTCTCATTTGACAGATGAGGACATGGACAGTCAGAAAAGTTTGGTGAGTTGCCCACAGCTAGGACTTGAGCCAGGTCACCTTATTATAAAGCCAGTTCCCCGCACCACACTTCAAATCAATCTTCTCTAGGGGAGCCTGTCCTAGGACCCCTCTGGTGTAGTCTCCTTGGGACTTCCCTCCCACTCCCATTTTCCAGTGCTGGTAGAAAGCCAGGGGCTAGACTGGATGAAAGCCACTAGCTGCACGTGGCTATTTACAGTATAGTTAATGTAAATTAGGTAAAATTAAAAGTTCAGTTCTTTTGGTTGATTATACTAAATCCATTCCAACTGCTCAGTAGCCACAGGAGGCTAGTAGCTTCTAGCGATTCAGCATTTCCATCATCACAGAAAGTCCTGTGGGCAGCGCGGGACTGGAGACCAAGGATGGAAGACCAGGCAAGCTCCAAGGAGCCTTGGGAGGAGACGGGGGAGTATGGAACCAGGGTCTGGGTGAGGACGGCAGGGAGAGGTCTGGTGGGCGTGGGGGAGCAGCAGAGAGCAGCCGGACCTGAATCTCAGGCACCTCCCTCCGATACTGATACTCTCGCAATACCAGTGAGCAATTAAGTAGCTGGGGTGTGGCCAAGGCCAAAGCAGGAAGAAGGGGATGCGGTGGGGAAGGAACTGCCCCTTTCAGCAGATCCCCAGAGGGACTTCATTCCTGCCTTTCGTCCTCCAGGTTCCCAGGCCTTGGTGGGCCCTCCATCACCCTCTGAAGACTCGAGCTGGCGGCTTCCTGTTTGCTCACCCAGGCCCAGGAGCCAGCTAATGGGAGGCAAGGCCACCACCTACCCAATTAGCCTTATTAAGCTCTGGCTCACCCATGGCAGTCATGGTCACCAGCTGTGGGGGAGGGGCTATGAGTGGCTTGTGAGTGACTGAGGCCCAGCTATGACGGGTACTCAGTCCAGGCCTCTCCCCAGAATGAGGCCCTGATACTCAACACCTCTCATGCTGTCCCCAGAGGCCCCAGAAGGAAGAGGTCAAGGAGCTGCAGTCTGGAAGGCAGATTCCCAGTTTCTGAGAGGAAAAGCCTCACTCATGGATGCAACACTTGATAGGTGTGTGGCAGGCAGAGTACCTGGGCAGTGAGGATATGTGGCACAGGGGTGGGGTTCAGACCCTTATATTTGGAGGAGAGTGGTGGATCCCCAGGGGCTGTGGATGGGAACTGGGTTAACCAAGCAGTTGTGGAGGTGGGAGGGGTGGGTGCAGAGCAGGGACCTGGTGAGGAGGGGAAGTTGAAATGCTGGTCCAGAAGATGCGGAGTTGGATAGGCCAGCATGGGGAAGGAAGGCAGCAGACTGAGGGAACCAGGTGACTGGACCTGTGGTGAGAGTAGCTGCCCCAGAGTGGGCGGCCACTGTTGGGGCGGAGTGCGAGGTTCTGGGTTAGGCAATGGGGATCCAGAGCCAGGCCTGTCAGGGCTGTGGCCAATGGTACCCCACACCACAGCCACCTCTACTGCTGAGTAGGCAGATACCCCAGCTGATTATTTCAGCTGCTCCTGCCACACCAACTTCCCCTGGGCACTGCCCTCCTCTCTCCTCCCCTCCTCACAGTGACTCCTGCCCAGAGAATGTCCAGCCCTGCCATAAAGGCCTGGGTGTCCACCAGCTGCCGGCAGTCTGAAGGCCATGAAGTCCAGGATGGGCTCCTCTCAGGCACCCTCGATGGGGCGTGTGGGAGGGCAAGGGGCGATGGCCCTGCTGCTGGCTGGCCTCCTCCTGCCAGGTAGGAGACAGGGAGGGTGGCCTGGGATCGAGAATGGAAAGGAGAGGAGGGTGAGGGAAGGCTCGGGTGATGGCGTTGGGGGACTCCTGTGGTACACGATGCCTAGGGGGAAGGTGTGCTCCACAGTCTGACACCAGGACCTGAGGGCTGCTTCTCACTGCCCTGTCACCCAGGCAAGTGACTTAAACTTTCTGAGCTTCAGTTTCTGAAAGTCTACAATGCAGTTAATGATAACACCTAGCTTCAGTCTCTCTGTGAGTCTCAAATAAGGTATGTGGCAGTGCTCTGAAAATTCTGGAGGGTTATATAAAAATTTTGTTGTGGTTTGAGTTCTAGAAGATGAAGACTGTATATTGAATAGTCACAATAACTACCATTTATAGAGCACTTTTATGTGCCAGGCACTGTTCTAGCACTTCCAACCTTTAGAAGAACCAAATGAGATTTGTTTTTCCTACTCTGCTCTCGAATACACCGAGGCTTAAGCACAAATACCAAGTAAGGCCATATGCAAACCCCAGGCAGGGGTGCCGGCCGGACACTTGTGGTGACCTTGCATGGCCCTGGATGGGGACAGGCTTCATAGCCTTGGGGAAGCAGAGGAGGACAGCTGACCAGGGCTACTGAAGGAGCTGGGGTTTGGTGTGGAAGGGTACAGAGAACTTTTTATTGGGGAGGGAATGAGGTCATCACAGATTGTGAGACCTGGTTATTGGCGGTGGGCTTGAGGAGCAGTGGCAGTAACACATCACAATGTGTCAGGCTTCTTTATGTTTTCAAGCCCCTTCCACATCCATGGTCACATTCAGTGCTCACAGTGATGCCAGGAGGGCAGGCCTGGCCTCTCCAAATGTACAAACTGAAGCTCAGTGAGATCTGGTGATTTGCACTGTGTGGCTCTGTGCATGCCACTTGGGACTGGAAGGGGTTGAGGGGCAGTGGAGGAGGGTGGAGGTAGGTGAGTCTGAAAGAGTTGATTCTGCATCAGGAGGGAGCCAAAGGTGGGGTGGGGGTGGGGGGGGAGGGTAGGCAGTTCCTCAGGTGATGGCTGGGTGGGGGGATGGGGTCAGGATGGGGAGGGTTCTGGGAGAGAGAAACTGATGTGAGTCAGGACCCTCACAGGAGGTCCATCCAGTATCCCTGCGGGGGACAGGAGAGCAGGGTGGCTCAGGATGAGGTAGTGTCCCATTGGGCGGTACCAACAAGTTCTGAAGCAACAGTGGGTGCCCCCACTTCCTGACCCCCCACCCAGCTTTCCTGCAGGGGCAGCACTGAGTTGGGAGCAGAATTTTCATCCTTCACTGAAGCCTGGCCTCTCACAAAGAAGGCGCTGACCATAGTCCTAAGTGCCCGGCCCCGTACTTCTGTTTCTCGGCGACCGGCCTTCTCTTTTCTCAGTGTCTCTTTTGCTGTTTGTCCTTCCTCTCTTGGCCCTCTACTGTTTTGTCTGTGTCTTCTCCTCCCATCTGGTCCCATGGTCTTGCGTGGGGTGTCTTCCTGGATATTTACGCCCACCTCAGGTCTCAGTCTCCCCACCCCGCTGTCTCTGGGGCTGGTCCTGTAGGCCATTTGTCCTACTGCACCCACCCTGTGTCTTTCTTCTAGGCCTCCCGCTTTGCAGTCCCCTTTTCTTCTCTGGCAGATGTTTGGGCTCTCCCCGCCCCGACCCTCCGCCCCGAATAATGGAACTATCCTTATTTTATCATCTCACTTTCTTTTAAATACAACAGCCTATCCCTTCCTTTTCTGCCCCAGACTCTCCCTGGTTTCTCTAAGGAGAAACCAAAGTGGCAGATGACAGAGATGGATGGGCCTGAAAGGTGAGAGAGAAAGCCAAGTCTCTCAGGCCCTTGCTAATCATGACTTTCCTCACCAGGGACCTTGGCTAAGAGCATTGGAACCTTCTCAGACCCCTGTAAGGACTCCACGCGTATCACCTCCCCCAGTGACCCCTGTCTTGTTGGAAAGAGTGGCTCCAGCAACTTCATTTCCAGTTCGGGTGGCTCTGGCAGTGGCTCTGGCGGTGGTTCTGGTGGTGGCTCCAGTGGCTCCAGTGGCTCCAGTGGTGGCTCCAGTGGTTCCAGCGTCTCCAGTAGCTCCAACAGTGGCTTCAGTGGTGGCTTCAGTGGCTCCAGCAGTGGCTCAAGTGGTTCCTTTGGCTCCAGCAGTGACTCCAGCAGTGGCCCCAGCGGATCCAGTGTTGCCCAGAGTGGTTCTTCAGGCTCTTTGTTATTTAAGCCAGGGACAGGGTATTCCCAGAGCAGCTACTCCTCTGGATCTGGCTCTAGTCTACACACTGCTTCCAGCTCCTCCCAGTCGGGCAGCAGCTCCCAGTTGGGGTCTGGACCAGCTCTACAAACCAATGGTGGTTCTTCCCGCTTTGTGATAAACTCTTCCCAGTCTGGAGGAGGCTCAAGCTCCTCTGTTTCCCAGTCTTCTTGGATGTCTAGCAATGGTGGCCAAAGGGTCAACTCTAATTTACGCCCTTGTAGTTCAGACATCCCCGACTCTCCCTGCAGTGGGGGGCCCATCGTCTCACACTCTGGCTCCTACATCTCCAGCTCTCACTCCGTGTCAGGGGGTCAAAGGCCAGTGGTGGTGGTGGTGGAGCAGCATGGCTCTGGTGGCCCTGGAATCATTCAGGGTTCCCTATGTAACAATGGTGGCCTTCCAGGCAAGCCCTGTCCCCCTATCACCTCTGTAGATGAATCCTATGGCAGCTATGAAGTGGTGGGTGGCTCCTCTAACAGTTATCTGGCCCCAGGCATGACTTACAGTGGGGGCAAAATCTACCCAGTGGGATACTTCACCAAAGATAACCCTGTCAGAGGCTCCCCAGGAGTGCCCTCCTTTGCAGCTGGGTCCCCCATCTCTGAGGGCAAATACTTCTCCAGCAACCCCATCATCCCCAGCCACAGCTCCTCCAGTGCCAACATCGCTTCCTCGGCCATTGTGTTCCAGCCAGTGGGCTCGGGAGGGGTCCAGCCGTGTGCAGCTGGCTCCTCAGGCTCGAGGGGGCCCTGCTCCCTCTCCAGTTCTGGAGTCCACAGCAGCTCAAGTGTCTCTGGCAGTTCTGGGTCACTTTCCCACCCCTGTGGCAGTATTTCCCAGGGCCCCTGTTCCCCACCTGGCACGGGCTCACTCAGCCACAGCTCCACCTCTCAATCCAGCAGCAAAATCATTCTTCAGCCCTGCAGCAGCAAGTCCAGCTCTGCTGGTCACCCTTGCATTTCTGTCTCCTCCTCAGTATTGAGTGGAGGTCGTGATAGCTCTCTCCAACCTGATCCATCAGCTGTTGCTCAGCCCTGCGGCAGCTCTGGGAAGAAGCCCTGCCGCTCCATCCGGGACATCCTGACACAGGTGAAGCCCTTGGGATCCCAGCTAGCTGACCCTAAACTCTTCCTGCCCCAGGGACAGTTACATGACAGTCCATGAGTCATTTTTGCAGCATGCATGTGTCACATACAGATACCCCCACACCCAGCAGGGAGATGCTCCCCAGAGAGCTGCTCTGCTTCCTCCACTGCCCAGTGTGGCACACTCCCCCTTATCACATCTTCTTTCTTCATCTCCCCAGACTGTGGGTGCCAAATCCCTTTCCTTGTTCTCTCCAGCTCTGTAGAATACCATCCTCCTTCAGCACCTTCCCTGCACCATAATTACTTCCTAAAATTTCCTCTGCCATTTCTTTGAGATGTGACAGTCCATTGGCTTATCCTGCCCATTCAGATTGTTGACTGGGAAACCCCTGAAATGTCCCAGAGTAACTCTAATGCCTGGGCAAGTCATCTTCTCTCCCTTTGATGGAGAAAGCACCATCTAACCTGTCTGAAAATAATTACTTTTCACTGACTTCTCTTTGCTAGCTGGCCAACCAATGAGATCTGAGCTGGGTTCTCACCACCCCCACCCCCCAACTCCACTCTCATCATCCGTTATTGAGGTCTCCACACCCTCTGTGATCTCCTTGCCTCTCAAGGTCTTGATCTCAGTCCCCGTCTTGGCTGCCACTTCCCTTGATTTCAGATGCTTCCTTGTATGATGGAGGTGCAAGGCCTATGGGGAGACCCAGGCAGGCTCTTTGCTCTCTAGATCCTGGACAGATATCTCAATAAACTGTGTGAACTAGAGGATGACTCTTTGCTTTCTTGGAGTCCTGGGTCCTCTTAGGATCTGGGTGGTGCTCTCCTATGCCCCTAGAGGCCCCATGTGCCCATTTTCATTCATAAGTTGTCCCACTATTTCTCTTATACCTATAGCTCCTCCCACAAAAGAGGAAAATAATGAGTATTTGTTGCACTGAAAGCAGAGGTTGCCTGGTCTCCCAGATCCTCTTCCCACATCTCTCTCCTGTCATTGCTCCAGGGAGTCCATTCTTCCTTCGCTCCCCATTCATCTGATTCTTCCCATTCCCTTCCCCACCCTAGCTCCTTCTTCTCTGCAATTAGTTTACCTCCCTTTTTAGGCACCATCCCCTCTTGGAGTCCCAAGCATGGATTTCCTGGATTTCTGGGACAGCTGAAACCTTGGCAAGGCTGGGACACAGCAAGACAGACCAGATTCCTGGTGACTAAGTAGGAGTCCAGGCGGATGCTGTTCTGGGAGTTGGGGGTGGAGGCAGTAAAAGACAGTGAGGATGAGAGCGTGACAGGTGTGCAGCCAAGCATGGTGACTCACTGGCCTGCATGAAAGTGTCCCAGCCAGTGGGAGAGCACAGCCAGCAGTGCCCCTCACCTCCACATTCTTGCTGCCCCTGCTATGGTTCTAGAGTGAGAGCTGTGGGAGGGGAGAGAACAGAGCACTGCAGTGGAGGAGAAAGATGGCCTCCCTGGAAGGGGAGAGAAAGTGGAGAAGTGGTCGGGGTCATATGACCATGTCGGCGACAGGCCAGCAGACAAGGAAGCCCAGGAAACTCTAATCCCAAGGAGGGGAGAGGGGGCAAGGTTGTGGTCACAGGAAGGGCCTCACACCAAGGCACAGGCCAACTCTTACAACATCTACTTGGTTGCAAACGAATTTACCCTACCCTGAAATATAAACCATTCCCTCCTGTTGGGATGGTGTCAGCTGGTCCTGAATTTAAGACTACTGTTGAAATTCCAAGTCTCGAACCAGTAGAAACGTGTTGCATTGATCAGAAATGATCTGGGGCACCTGAGTCAACCTGCAGGGTTGAGTGAAGATGGAGGAGGCTCCAGAACAGTCCTGTTCCTCTGTTGTCACTGTTGACTCACCCTTGGCATCTGGACCCTGGACTGGAGTCAGTGACAGGAATCGAGGCCACCTGAGGCTGTGGATGGCAATTGCAGGAGGGGTACAGCCTCTAATGCGGGAATTCCTCAAGTCTCAAGTGTGGTCCAGGTCAAAAGCACTTGCAAAACTTGTGGATATCACTCTGAAAGGCTGCTGCCCTCCACCCACTGGCCAGTTCTTCATTCTCCTGGTCACTGGCCAACAGGAGCTGGGAGGAAGACAGAATAATAAAATTTTGCAGTAAAATTTAGACTTCTTGCAACCAGGAAAGCCTAGCCTGGGTGTGTCCTGGAAGCCACAGAAAGAATAAAGGCATTTAAACTCTTTTTGTTGTAAAAATTTCAAATGTATTTAAGAGTAGACAAAATAGTTAATGAATCCCTATGCTCCCATCACCCAGCCTCAACAATGACCAAGTCATGGCCATTTGAGAATAGCATTCTATCGCCCTCCTCTGCTGTTAGTTGAAAACAACTGCTCTCTCTCAGTGTCTCTCATATTCTGTGGACACACTTGACCATAACTGTGGTAGGCAGAAGAGTGCCCCCTACCTGCCAAAATGTCTGCGTCCCTGGAACCTGTGAGTATATTAGGTAACATAGCAAAGGAAATTAAGGTTGCAGATGGAATTAAGGTTTTTAGTTCAGTTGACCTTCAAGTAGGGAGATGATCCTGGATGATTTTGGGTGGGCTCAATGTCATCCTAGAGGTCATTGAATATGAAAGAGGGAAAAGGAAGAAGAGGTGAGAGTGATACAATATGGAGAAGAACCTGCTGCTTCTGTCACTGAACACAGAGGAAGGGACCATGAGCCCAAGATTGCAGGTGGCTTCTATTAATAGAAGCTGGAGAATACACCAAATGGATTCTCCCCTGGAGTCTCCAGAAAGGAACTGGCCCTGTCAACACTTTGATTTTAATGCAATGAGACCCGTGTCAGACTTCTGATCTTCAAAATTGTAAGATACTAAATTTGTGTTGCCATTATGTTTGTGGTTATTTGTTAGCGCAGTGATAGGAAATTATTACACCATTATCTCTTAAGGATGGGAACCAGGCCTGTTTTCCTAGATACAGTGTCTTATCTAGGACAGCTCCTCAAATGCGGGCCACTTCTGCACTCAGAACCTCCTGCAGGCTCAGGTTAAGGCAAAGGAGCTATGTTAGGTGGATGCATGAGAAAAGGGTGAGTGGGAGAGAATGATTCCAAAGAGAAAGAGAAGAGAACCAAGTTCTCCTATTGTGAGAAGGCAGTGAAGAGGCTGAGACCCCAAGGGTGAAGGTCCTGGTGTGTTTGGTAGAGGGAGCCTGGGAAGGGTAAGGCTGGCAACCAGTGATGAGCTATGAGTCAAGACAACTTCGTCAGGAAGGGGCAGGAAGCTGGAGAAAAGGAACCAGGGAGGAACACCCAGCTTCCCTGGGACATTCAAGGGCCTTCTGTTGGCACAGGCCACATTAGGAATGAGGGTGGGATGTGGAGATTTATTTTCTCCACAACTAGGGGCGCAGCCTGTTTCTGCTGCCCCCACCCCACTATTAGGATAAAGGGCTGGCTGTCCTGGAGCCTAGGCAGATGCTAGACATGAGCACAAGGCAGGGCTGTGGTGGGTGCTGGGCTCTTCCTGATCTGCCTTCACCTCTGGTATGGAGGCTGGGCCCAGTGCTCAAGGAGGAGGGGACTGGGCTCCTGGGAAACTGGAATTAAGGACATGGTCAGGGCAACATGGTAGACAGTTGGGTGACTTGGGTCCCTGGGGTAAGTAAAGATTGGCTTTGGGGAATTGAAGGGATTCAAAGCCAAGGGCATCAAGGAGTCAGTGGAGGAGGGCATTGGGTCACTGGCTGCCTCCTCTTCCTTTCCCCCAAGGTCCTTCTTCCTGGAGTATCAGCATAGTGGAGGAGAAAGATCACCAAGACTTGGGGACCAGCTTGCTTCTGCTTGGAAAACCTTCCTTGACCAGCCGTTCCAACCCCAAACGTTCTCAGACCAAACAAGATCCTGGGGCTAATGATTTAGCAAGGGCTCCTCTGAAGCCCAGTTCTATTCCATCAGATGACTCCCAACCTGGAGGTTCTGGGGTTCAGAGGTGGCCCCCATCTGGGTGGCTGCCCTCCATGGGTTTCTGGCCCTCTGAGGGTCCTTGGGAGATCATGGCTGTTGTGGAGGACCACATGGGGGAAGTGCTGTCCGAAGAACCTTCTTTTCTTCCAGTGTGGCTGCCCTCCTTCTGGAAGACAGTCCTTTGCCTGTGGGGTTCTCTGCAGGCCCATCACCTGTGGCTTTAGTCTTCCACCCGGACTCTGATTCTAGATGACCACCCCTGTTCGAACATGTGGGGAGCCCAGGGAAAAATCCTTGCCCAATGCCCACCCTGGTCTCTCATCAACAGGATTCAACAGCCACTTCTGCTAGGTTACCTCTGGGGGACCCTGACTCTCACTGTGTCCTGGGAGGTGGAAATCCTGGAACTGGATGGGGAATCAAGCCCGTGCCACATCCTGTGGGAATCTGGGGTATCAATAATCGATATCCAAGTATGAGCTGTGGAAATACTAATCAGTATCCAGGTACCAGCTGGGGGAGAATTCATCTACACTCAGGCATTAATAATCAATTTTCTCCCAGAGTTCTCCATTCTCCTGGCTCTTTTGGGAAAATCCCAGCTGGCTTCCTCAGTTCTCAAAACCCTGGGTCTCAGGGGCGTTAGGAGAATGGCAGGGGCAAGCCCTAAGTTGGAAGTCAGAGAAACGGTCCTGCTCCCTCTCCTTGTTGTGTAATCTAGGTCAAGGTACAATCAGCAAGTTTCCAGCACCTCCTCCACTTTTCACTGCCCCCTGCACCTCCATGACGATCACCAAGAAAACACAAGCATTTATTGAACCTACTCCTTTGCAGTGTCTTTGCTTCTGGGTGCAAACTGAAGTGAGTTTTGTCCATTCCCATCTTCCAGCCATCACCAAGTCTCTCTAGGGACCTCCAGGCGCTCTCTTGCTATTCTCATCCTTTGCCTAAGGATCGAAGCCTAGGTATTTGGGGGTGGGACCTCATGGTCTCACCTGGCCAGGCGGGAGAGCTGGTTCCGGAATTGTCCTGGAATCTGACAGGGGAAGAGGGGCAGCGGGAATAATTGAGATGGCATCTGTGGCAGGAGGGATGATGTCCAGGAAGTTGGTCAGCCCACAATAGTGGTCTTTGCTTTAACAGTGCAAAGGCCAAACAGGGCCAAATGGGGACGAGTACCCTTTGAAACAGAGTCAGAGAAAGTCATTTTGTCTGTGCTTGTCTTTTCTTCCCCAGGAAGTCAAGCTTTTTGGAAGTCAAGAGCTCCTTGATTTCCTCCCTTACATGCATACTTGGCACAGTGTGCCCAAAGAACCACAGATTTTAAACATTTGCCGAATAAATAGGAGATCTCAGTACAGGAAGAAGGAAAGGGAGAGGAAAACCTTTGAGCTGACAGTCCTACCTGTGATATATGTGATACTTTTATTCCCAAGTTGACACCTTCTTTTTGTCACATGGCTGTCTCTTTGTCCGCCCTTTGGTTTTCCCAGGAGCTCATCATTATTGTACAGGTGTTGGAGTGAAATGGGGAGGGTCACTTTAAGAAAGCTTGGAGGGAGGTTAACAGGAGCCAGCTCGGGGTGACCAGTTTCCAGAATGCCATGTGTCTGGTGGCCTGTCTTTCTGATACTGTGCATGTGCTTCCCTGAAGTGGTCCAGGTGTATGCACACCTGGCAATTGCTCTGGGTTCTGGGAATAGGGAAGGTTGTAGGGGAGGAAGTAGAAGGAAAACAAACACGAGAATTGGAGGGTGGGGAGCTGCCCCCCTGAGTGTGAGGTGTGAATTCTTAAGGAAAATTCTCCTGTCCCAGCATCTGCAATTGGGACACCTGCCCATCAGCCACCACTTCTGCTCCACTATCATCTCAAGCTCATCCCCCAGTCCTTTCCCACCTTGGTTCATTTCTCCCTGTCCTTGTTCTGTGGTTTGTTTTCAGCACCTGTCTCTTCCACAAGCCCAAGTTCATTATCCGGGGCTTGTGGTTTGATTTCTTTCTGTCCCCCTTTCTAGTTACTTCCCCTTCCTCTCCCCCAGTACCACAAGGACAGTGGTCTGGTTTTGTTCACTGCTGCACTCTCAGCGCCATGGACGGTATCTGGACCAAGGTCTGAACTCAGTTCATGGAGCGCGCTCTCTCTTTCTCCCACTCCTTCTCTCTTCCCCTCTCTCCCTCCTTCCCTCCTTTTTTCTCTGTGCCTCCTCTGTACTCTTTCTTCTTCCGCCTTATTTCTGAGCCACAGGGCTGCACGCAGGCTCTGTACTTCTGTGCGGCCCTCCCTCACCCTCACTGACATTTCTTTACATACAACCTGAAGCCCTTCTCAGCTCATCAAATGCTCTGTGCAGTCCATATTTGAACCCTCATTACTATCTGCGAGGAAGGTGTTATAAGGTGAAGAAATGGAGGCACAAACAAATGAAGCAACTTATACAAGGTTACATACGAACAAGTGAAATCAGTGACTCAAACCTAATTTGCTTCATTATCTGTCCAGAGACTGTTCTAGTACAACATGCAATTAACAAAAACCCATGTAATGTTTACTGCATACCCATTATGAGCCAGATCCTGGACGAGGTGCTTCCATGCACATCCTCCCAGCAAACCCCCACAGCAGTTCCATCAGGTAAGCACTGCTGGGCCCATTGCACATGCGGAGACACTGAGGCCTACAGAGGAAGAAGAGTCAAGGCTTGCAAAGAGATGACCCTGAGCCAAGGGAGCCTGGCACTCAGTGCTCATGGAGGGCCTTGGAGTAGCTGTGGTCAGCCCGTCATAATGGTCTTTGCTTTAATATTGGTTGTTAAAAAAAAAAAAGATTCCTGATCGGACAGTATCTGTGACATTAACAGAGGTCCTGAGATTTGCGTTGGGAGTCACTGCTGGTGTTCTGAGCTTTCTGTGTTAGTTAGTGGTTAACTGGTGGACTACTGCTGCAGGGGTCATGGCCCCTCACCTCGAGGGACAAGGGATGGTGCTGAGCAGAAGAAACCCTTGTCTGGAGCTAGAGGACCCAGGTCCCCCTTCTGTGTGCTCATGCGGTCTTCTCTGCCCAGTCTATTTAGGCGAGCTGCTTTCCCCTGTGGACCTTAGTTTCCTCATCTGTCAATGGGATGAAGGCAGATGCCCAGTCTCTCTAATAGGGTGGTTAGAAAGTTTGATTAAAGTAGCGATAAAGTGTGATAAAGTGCATGAAAGATTGGAAAACTCTGAGCAATTGTAATGATTGATTGTAATGCAGTATGTTGTCCCAGTGAGGCTGTGCTGGTGGGACCACACAGGAGGAGGGTTCTCAGCCCTGGGGGTGGGATTTAATGGTTATGGTCAAAGTTAGTGTGATACTCCCCACTGAGAATCACGCTTCAGAGAATTATTCCAGATCAAGAAGGGGGAGTCGGCTTCTCATTGAAGCATTTCCTTCCTCAAACAAATTGTGTTCACTCAGATGCTTTTCACATACACATACACACACACTTGGGTGCTAATAATAGCTTCTTTTATCATATATTCACTGTAAAAGAAATGTGTTACATGGTTATTTCAATTCTCACAACAATTCTAGGATGTACTTACTCTTAGTATTTCCATTTTATAGGTGAAAAAACTGATGCTCAGCAAGGTTAGGTAACTTGCCCAAAGTGACACAGCCAGTGAGAGGTGGAGCTTGGCTCTGGCACCATTTAAAACCTGCAGGCCTGCGGGTGGGAGGCAGACAGCACAGGGGAGAGGAAGGAGAGATTCTCTAGTCCTGACCTCTTAAGGACTGCCTGGAGTTCTTCCCCACCACACGTCTGTTTGCACCCACTTTTCCTGTCCCCTGAAGACCACAGTCAGGGTTTAGTTTTGTCTTTCTCTCTAGATCAAACACCTACCTCTTGTGTTCCTCTTATTATTCAGTTGGAAAGATGTCCCCTGTTCTCTTCTTCCTATCTGTTTCTAGGTCAGCATTCTTTTGTCACTGTCAGGAAACTGATAAGATACCCAGGATACAGTCACCTTTTATAACTCACCTTGTCAAATAGGAGCATCAGCACACAAGACCTCAGAAATAGCAGTCATACACCAGGGTCTCTAGTTCTGTCCACTTAGGGAATGTCCTGGTCCTGGATAGTCCAGAGTGGAGAAAGTGGGAGGAGGCTCAGTGGCGGTCCAGTTAGAGATGGCTCTTTTCAGTGTTCGTCGCAGTGGTGCTCTAGGGGCTGCTGTGGGTCCCAGAGGTCACCGGGTGGATGTGGTTTACCCATGGTGGTGACAAAGCTGGTGTGGTAGCTGTTGCTTGTCCTAAGTTACTGGCTAGGGTGATGTGAAATGACTTCTGGTGTCAGATGGTCTCCAGCTATGCAAGGCCACTGTGGAAAGGTGGTAGAAAGAAGCTGTGAAATAGTTTTGAGACCATTCAGGCCTCCTTGGCCTCAGGCAGTCATGGCAGTCATGGCTGATGAGTGGAAGTTGTTTTCTTTAGCACCTTTCTTCCTGTCCCTCTGTCTCCTTTCTCTACATCCTTTCTCTACATCCTTTTTCTGTGCTCAACCTGCTTCCGGGCTACCCAAGACCACCCATCCATGTTCCCTCTGGCTGGGCCTGACCTCCTTCCCATGTACCGGACTTTCCCGCCTGGCCAACCCCCACCAAAACCTGCCTCTCCTGTACCCCATTGCTTGGGGTTCTCTGTTCACTGTGCCATTGTAATGGGATGGTTTCAGAAGAACTAACTCTGTTAGGAAGGAACAGGGGCAAGGACGACGAGCCTAGAAAGATAAAACCAATCCACTCTGTTAGTGGACCCGCAACCACCTGTCCCAGCCTGCAAACTCAGGTCCTCTTTTCCTGCCATATACTACCATGTCATTAAGAACTTTAAGGCACGCCTGTCTAGTGTGAAGCTTGTTACCTTCATGAATTTATAAAACAGTTAACATTTAAGCATTAAACAATATACCCAGCTATTACATGAAAATTTATGGATTTAATAAACTAAATTTATTCAAACATTAAATATTGTTTTGCACTGAAACTAATTTAAGCATTTAATTAAAATCTCAAATCTGATATATGAAATTCTCTTAAATGACTTAAACCCCTAAGAAATGCAAGAGTTATAATGATTAAAAAACTGATCACTTTTTTGCCATTAAAATCAGTTACAAAAGGCTAGTACCATGGATTTAAACTTACTCATTCTCCTTTTCTTTCCTCTTCTATTCTTGGGTTACCTTTCTAGAATGTGAGTATTTTTTATTTGAATACCATCCTGAAGTTTCAATAATCTTAGGAACTGCATTTTGGGCACTTTAGTTTTGGCTGGAAATCAGCCTCGTTGCAAAAAGTAAGCAGATAAAAGGAACCTATCTCTGCTTTATAAGCAGACACATAATTGATAGAAGAAACAGGATGAACAATTCCCTTGTTATTAAAATCAGTTTTTAAAATTCCATTCTTTTTTATTACAGCCATCTTTTATGCACTTTCACTTTTAATACCTAATGTCCTCATGGTCTTGGCAACCTCAATTTACTCCATTAACTGTAATTATCATTCCCCCACCCTCTTTCTTCTCATGCTCGGTTGTCTCAGGTTGGATAATGGAGCACTTTTAGGTTGGTTCCTTTGTCCTTTTAAGCACTTTCCTTGACATTGTTA